GCTGTGTGTACAGGTTGATGAGCAAGAGTGAGTGTGTGTGCGCGCATGCGTGCTGTGGACAGGTGGAGGGAGGCCCCTATACTGCATTGCATTTGCAAAAGATCAAATTGGCCAAAAGTCTGTCAGTCATTTGTGCACGATGGGGACGCAGAATGATGCCACCATGGCTGAAAACTCGCTCCACTGGAGCACTAGAAGCAGGCACTGCCAAGACTCGGATGGCTACTTGAAAGAGTGAAGGAAGAGTCTTACTGTTCAGTGCCCAGAACAAAAGGGCATTCTGTCCTTCTGCCATGTCAATGTAGTGACTTAGCTGTACTGCTGGTGGGGTCCCAACATCCCTTTTCTGCCTCTTATGGTATGCAGCAAACAGCCCTTCTCCTTCCATGTCCTCTAGTTCTTCTTCAGCAGGCACCGGCACAGGCTGCTCTGTCTCTGCAGCATCTTGCAGGATCAATTCTAAAAATAAAAATAAAAACGTGTCACAACAGCAGAAACAAAAGAGCCCTTATTTCTGATGTTGATGATACTGTTCAAGACTGAAATTTTTTATTATTGTTAAAGTCAGATTAATATCACATTAGATCCTATATCAGATTAAGATCAAATTATTGTACGTTGCATTTAAGTTGCATTGCAAGTCAATAATATTTACCTTTAACTCGTTGTGCCACCTCTGCCTTGATGTCACGGTTGACCAGCACATGGGGCTCAATCCACAGCAGACAAAAGGCTGGATCCAAGGCAGCTGCTTTCAGGTAGACTGTATCTGAAAAGGGGGCAGTGATCCCTTCTTGAGACTGGGCCATTTTTACATTAATGAAGATCCCAAGAAATCTTTTTTTCAGGGATGCCTGCAGACCTCTGACCAGGCCACTCAGGAAACGAACTTGAGGCTTCAGCTTCTCAAGATGGTGATTGAGGGACAAGATGGATGGAACAACTGCACTGATTGTAATGACTTTCTCCCCCTGTGTCAAATCAGTTGCTTCTCCGAACGGTTTTAAGATGTCCACCAACTCCTTCAGCAGATTCCACTCTCGTGGTGTGAATGACAGTTCTTTATGCCCGGCCTTCTCAAGAACTGCGCAGAGCTTTTGCTGATCACAATGAAGGACTGCTTTTACCTGCCGCAGTGTGGAATTCCACCTCGTGCTCACTGCAGCAGGGATGCCTCTGTGCTCCCCAAATTCACCATCGAAGATGTCTTTAAACGTTGTGCTTGTGTGGAGCAGGGAGCTAAGTTTTGATAACTTGGAGAGAGAAGGACATGCCGCTTTTGTTTCTTTCAAACCGTCTCCCACAACCAGCTGCAATGTGTGTGCAAAACACTGCAGGCGCTGTTTCTTTGCCATAGCAGCATCGACGGTTTGCTGGTCTTCTTGGGTTAAGTCATGCCATAGCTCAGGATCATCAAGATTATCTCCAGCATCTTCATCTTCCTCCTGTTCGCTGGGGAAGCAGACTGTAAATGCCTTGCGCATGTTAGCAGCATTGTCACTAATTATATAGTCCAATTTAGCTTTGATGTTGTATTCATCACATATTGCCTCAAATTGGTCACAGATTCGCTCTGCTGTGTGAGAGCCTTTGAAGCGGTTGCAGGCCAAGAGATTAGTCTTTAGCTGTACCCTCTCTGCATCTCGCTCCATCCAGTGCACAGTGACACCAAGGAATCCCCTCATCTTTCGATCAGACCAAATGTCCACAGTGACTGAAACATGGTCAGTGTTGCTCAATTGAGTTTTTAACTTTGACCGTCTCTCCTCAGCAAGGCTCTCTGTTTTTGTGGTCAGCGTTCGGCGACATACTGGGGTATACTTGCTGTCCAGCACAGCCAGAAAGTGACGAAAGCTCTTATTTTCCACAATAGACAGAGGGAAATTGCAATCAATAATCAAGTCAGACAGTATCGCATTGGAGATGGCCTTCTGCTGTGGGTGGGTCAGGCTGTAACGCCCTACACGAGTGTCAAGGAATTGTGAGATTGAAGGCTGTTGTGGTTCATCTACAATGATTTTGTTCATCTGGTATTCTTCATACCTGTAACAGAGAAGAATATGAAACAGATGTCAGAAAATCCTTTACAGCCACACATGTTGTATTTGAAACTACTCTTTACTCATATCAATGTTGTTGTGTTAATATTCATTGCCTATTGTACACTACGGTTTACGATAATACATTTCAGTGTCAGTGTATGCAATATTAAGAATATTTTCACTGCTTCAAAATTCATAAGAAAGCCCTTTCCCTCAAGAAACTGAAGTCATATGCTTTATAGCAGTGGTTTTCAAAGTGGGGACGGGGACCCTTGGGTGCCGCGAGGGGGTTCTAGGGGGGCCATGGCAAGTTGGCATGAAAAGTATAGAAAAACAAAATAATTGAATAAATTAAATAACTAAAGTAAACCAAATTAAACCAAAAATAAGCTAAACAATATTCCCATTAGTTAAGAACTGCACTATAATAATCTATTGCATCTCTGAACATTACTACTATAATCGTTATTATTTTATTATATACTGTATATATCCCAGTGGTGCGCTGCCTCACAGACCTACTGTAGACTACGGTAGCACTCTGTCCATGCGCTGTCTGCTGTTTGGGCATGATATGAAAAGGGAAGGCTAATGGTGGATCTACTGTGACTGTGTTATCATTTTCCTCTTTACAATGTATACGTCTTACTATGTTTCCTGTTGTACTTGGATGGGTTTAGGGATGCACCAACTACATCCGAGTTGTGAAAGGGGGTGCATTCATTGTTTAATTGTGATATTTTGTCTTCAGCGACAGTTCAGCTTAGTTGTGATTAACCAAAATTACATAAACGACCTCAATGAGGCAGCACACCAGCAACTCTGAAACTGAATTCTAAAACGCTTAACGTGAAAAACGCTTAACGTTGCTTAATGCTTAATATACTAAGACAGTAATATTATAAGACCAAACTCTGCAAATATCATATTAATAAAGCATACTATGTACAAAACATCAGATGAGCCCAGAATACATAGTAGCCTACATAAGACATGTTAAGCCTTTTCTTATAATGGTTTTCTATGGGAGGAAAACACTTAACGTGTTGTTAAACGTGTTTGCGTTCATATTCTGGCCTCATCTGATGTTTTGTACATTTAGTATACTTTATTAATATGATATTTATAGTTTGGTCTTTTAATATTACTGTCTCAGTATATTAAGACACGTTAAGCCTTTTCTTATAATAGTTTTCTATGGGAGGAAAACGCAACGTGTTATTAAACGTGTTTGCGTTCATATTCTGGGCTCATCTGATGTTTTGTACATAGTATACTTTATTAATATGATATTTACAGAGTTTGGTCTTTTAATAACACTGTCTTAGTACATTAAAGAACGTTAAGCGTTTTTCACGAAAGCGTTTTAGAATGTCCATATAATAGCAGTTCAAAAATCCATATTTTTGTAAGCATGAACCAGCAAGGGAGACGTGCGTTTGTCTCGTTGATACAGTAAATATGCAGCAGCTAGCTAGTAAGTTACGGTACATCCGATAAGGTGCGTAGCATTCGTTCAAAACTTACCTTTCTTTGTGCAACTTCAGGTGTCGAACAAAGTTGGACGTTGTGGCAGCTCCGTCTGTAATCTTCGATCCGCATGTTTTGCAGATTGCAACTCGTTTTTTGTCGACTACCTCGTAATTTTTTTAGCCAAACCAAACTATCTTCGGTATCATTTTGACAACTGGCGCGTTGTTGCTTGATGTGCTTCATTGGTTGTCTTGCAATGTGCCTGCTTAGATGCTGTCGAATCAAAACAACGTGGGACTACAGTGATTGGATAACGTGCAGGCAGCGCGCGCTCTCTGTATGCATACAGGTGGATGGTGCACATTTTTTTCACAGATGCAGATAAACGGAGAGCGGCGCGGCCGTGTGAAATTTTTTTTCCCCAGTTTTCATGGGAAGTAGCAAGTCTTCTCGAGTCATAAGGCGCAAGTCCAAGTGAAGTCACGAGTCATTGATGTTAAAGTCCAAGTCGAGTTGCAAGTCTTTGTACATTTTGTCGAGTCGAGTCTGAAGTCATCAAATTCATGACTCGAGTCTGACTCGAGTCCAAGTCACATGACTCGAGTCCACACCTCTGCTGATAGGCGCCTGTCCTACAGATGCTGTATCTTAATTTGACTACCCTGTTGTTGCAGGAACGTTCCTGCATGGAAGGAAATGCAAACTTGTAGTGTATTCAAGGTTTAAAAAGGCTTCTAAAGTGTGTAATTTCCACTTTAAAATGTAAGACATGATTTGCCCTAAAGAAAAATATATCAACCCCTACAAAAAATGTCTGTTAATTATAATCCACATAACAATTCACATTTCCTGATGCTGCAGGATTATTTTCATGCTGTGTGAAACTGGCTCAAATTAAGATACGGCATCTGTATCAATAGATCTCTACAAGATGCATATCGTTCATTCTAGTTGGAGAGGGCTCAACTGACTTTTCTGACTAGCGATTTGAAACTTTTAAATGAAAAATAGCCTAGTTCATTAATGACGTGGAAAAAGTAGCTGGCTGAAAATGAGTCTTTTATTGGCGGTTTAACCGATGGCCGGCGCTATTGGAAAAGTGTTGGGCTAATCACTAATTAGATGTGGCAGGTCAGCTGGCACAGATCTTCCCATGGAAGTTTGGTTCCCAGGGGTTGGGTCAGGCTGAGAACCAGGTTTGGTGTTCTAGACAAACACTCACTTGTCAAATGTTTTTTTAAATTAATTAATTTAAGGATGGAAAACCACCCACGACAACCCTGGCCTAAACCTGTTACTTAAGCAGTGTGCGTGTGTGTGTGTGCTTGTGTGATAATGGAAACCCCTCTGTGAGTTTGAGAAGAACCACACGTCCTTCCACTTGAGTAGTTTTCTGTGCAGTGGAATGACACACAAGTACTTAAGAGTTCGATCCAACCAGCCAGGGCAGAGTAGACCAGAGTTTACCACATGTGATTTCTATTTTCAGTTCAGAGACAGAGGCCGCTTCCAACAACAAGAGAGAGAGAAGGAGATGGGGAAATGAAGGGGAGAAGACGAAAGCATACTGTAGGGAGTGGAGGAAGGGGTAAGAGGAAGGAATAAGAGAATGAGGGTTACTAATAAGGGGAATTTGAGAAACAGAAGCCCTCATGAAGCCCCGTGTATCTCAGTTGGTAGAGCATTGCGCTTGCAACGTCAGGGTTGTGGGTTCGATTCCCACGAGGGGCCAGTATAAAAAGAAAACTAAGTCGCTCTGGATAAGAGCGTCTGCTAAATGACTCAAATGTAAAAAAATTAAGCAGAGAGAGTTGAGACAACTGGAGATGGCATAGAGAGAGAGAGAGAGAGAGAGAGAGAGAGAGAGAGAGAGAGAGAGAGAGAGAGAGAGAGAGAGAGAGAGAGAGAGAGAGAGAGAGAGAGAGAGAGAGAAAATGGTTTACGGGGAAGGACAAACACCAAAGCTCTGGAAGTAAAAACAGTGTGGGAACCTGCACTGCAAATGAACAGAGAGAGAGAGAGAGAACAGGAATGGTCGAGAGGGGGCAGTGGCAGTTAGTTGTGTTTCCGTTTGAGTCAAGCCTCAAGGTAAACACTATTCTAATAAGCATAGGAATGCTGCAAGTATGTTGGAGCATCTAATAATTAACAGGGGCAAAGTCCCCCAAAACTACCCGGTCACTAGGCGACTGAGCTCTGTAACTGTCAACCAGTCAGTCAACCAGCCAGCCAGTCATTGCTGAACATTGAGGTAATTTCCAGGAATGAAACTCCCCAGCGTTCCCACAGACAGCCAGTTAACACAGTAGAGGCCAGGGTAGGAGAGCACTGCACTGCTGGGGTAGAAGTAGGTAGAGAAGGTGGAGAGGTAGGTGGAAGGTAGAGGAAGTAGAGGTAGAGCGGGGGGGGATTTCCCTGACTATCTGAATGTTGTGGGTCGGTAGAAACTGAGAGGAGGAAACGGAAAACTCCAACCGCAACAAACAAACAGACAGACAGAGAGAGACAGACATAGACAGAGAGAAAGAGAAAAAGAAAGAGAGAAAAAGAGAGAGAGCGAGAGAGATGCCACTTCTCTCAGATGAAAGAAAATAAACAGATGAAAGACAAAAAGAGAAGGCCTTTCATCTAGGGCTGTGGTGGTCATGACATTTTGTCAGCCGGTTATTGTCATGCAATCATCACCTTAGAAAGCATTGTCCATTTCGTTGTGTTAGGCTTTGAAACAACATCCACAACGACCATGTTTTCCACTCAGTTTCAACCTGTTGTTGAACTTCTTTCTTCAAATTGATCAATCACAGTGAGGGGAGTTTTAAAAGCACATACTGTTTTGATGATGTGTTTGATGTGATTTTGGATTGCATTTTAATTGACGTCAGAGTGGTTAAAGGGACAAGAGTCCTGAATACCAGGCCATTAGTGACCTGATGATCAATAGCGAGTTGGGTACTACCAATGCATGTCCAGAGTGCATAAGAGGAGATTACCGTGACTCAACGGTCACGTAGAATTTTACTGCGGTCATGACTGCCGGTGTGGCGGTAATACAGTCACCGCAACAGCCCTACTTTCAACCCAATTGTGGCTCACGGAGGTCATGCTAACACTTTGCATCATACTTTGACTAAAATATTCAACTCAAGCCACTGAATTGGTTCCTCAACATGTATTAATTGTGGTTCAGAACTTTCAATGGACATGAAGTCTTGGAATGAAACAGAGAGAGGAACTGATCCAAGCCCTAAAGGAAGAGGAGAGAGGGAGCTGGACAATGTTGTCAGGGTGTTTCAAGTGACACTAGACACGGACACGCTCCCCTCCCAAAGGATGTCTGCGGTAGGGTTTCTGTTAGCTGGCAATTGGCGGGTTTTGGCCGATAAAAAAAAAAGAAAAGTCGATCAATAAAGCTGTTGCCGGCCAAAATGACGTGGAGAAAGAAAATCTAAATGCAAATGTATGCTTTTTATTAATTGATGGAATAAAGCAGTCGATGGAAATACATTTGACCGGTAAAGGTTATTGGTCAATAGGTTAATTTGCCTAATTTAGTGGAATTAAATTGGCCTGTGTATTTTCGTTAGTCAGCATACAGAGCCTATTTTGAGTGAGATTTCTCCTGCACCTCCTCAGCTGGTGCACGATAACAAAAAAGCGACTATTTTTATTTCTCAACTGGTGACTGAAGCACACCTCCCATTCACCATTCAAGTACAGGCAACAGGCTATCAGCACGTCACCCACCACTTTACAATGTGAGCTGGAGGCAGTATGCATTTTGAAAACATACTTCATTGTTTGAAACCTGAATGTTTTATTTCATATTATGAGGGATCTCTTACCTTGCTTCAAATTAGCCTATAGGCTAAATCCGACCATGAAAATGTGGATGCAATTTAATAGGCGGCGCGTGAGTTTAAAGTTTGGGTAAGCTTACAATTTATCCTACCATTTTTACCATTCTGAGTGCCAGTTATAATTTTCATATGCAGATTTTCGTGGAACAGCTTCATTTAATTAATGTTTTTGTTTCTTAAAAACATGACAAAAATCTAAAAAGTAGACTAATGAAAGATCGCTAGCCTCTGCCATATGGACACATTGATACACCGTGATCCATTGGCGGCTAAAGAAACGAGCGCATGGAACTCATAGCCAATACAGCAGTAGGCCTATAACTTCCATTTCTCTTTCACACCGAGGATTGGTGATTATCGAGGGGGAGATTGGAAGATTTTTCAAATAGCTTACTGTGAGGAACTATAGTTTTAATATAGTATCATTCGCAATGACGTTAAAAAAGCACTTTCCTACATTTCCATGCAGCAGGCCAGGTACTGCGCACGCCCTCCCTCAACATTATCAGGACAGAGAAACCAGACACATACTCATGGAGCATTCCAAACAAAAGACAATGAAAGAATTTACAAATCTCCGAAATGATTAAATAAACCAAAACTTGTTTCTCACAAGTGTAGCAGGTTGTGAACTCCGCAAACAATGTTCCCACTCCGAGAATTAGAACGGTAAATGACTAATTGATACATGCATTAAGAGAAATTAATGTAAACAAATTACAGGGATTACATATGTAATGGGGAATTGATTTGTAAAAAATTAAAAGGGCAAACTATTCAAACAATGAATGCGTAAGAACTGGCGGGAGACTCGCCTAGATCGTCACCACACACCCCTCCCTTCTTCTTGTCTCAACATTTTTTAATGATACTCAAGACACATTATCTTCACACACAATAATCAGCTAGGCCTATTGCCACGCACACTGCCCAAATTGCGGGCTTCCCAAATAGGCATAGACCTATGAGCTATTTAAAAAAAAGAAGCGAATCCTCGATTCCTCTGTGGCCAAGTCATGCTTTCTGGTGAAGTATTTTGAATGATTTTAATTATTTCTATATAGACAGGAGTAATTATATAATTTTGGCAAATGTATGTCCATTTTCTTCCCTATTGGACCCACCGCTATGCCATTACTCTCCTGTTCTATTGGTTTTCATATCAATGTTATTTTGTTGTCCAGAAGCCAAAGGCACAATCCTAGTCACATTAGCAGCACATCCTAGCTGTTGCATCTTTAGAGTACCCCTCTTTCTAAATTTCTAACAGAGATTTTCATCTCTGTCACATATGGAACAGCTTTCAGATGCGCTGTTTAGAATGGTGTTTTCCCAGGTGCGCGGTTTAGAATGGTATTTTCCCGCTAATTGCATTTTGGCAAATGTTTGAAAACAACGTTTTATCGGCTGCTTCATTACATGAGTTACATGTTCTGTTAAAAGATGCATTACCATAATCTAAATGTGATTTCTGTCATTCTGAGTACAGTGGGTGGACGCCCTAATGGGTTATGCCGGTAAATTTCTCAAATGGACGGTACATTTGAATCTTCCCCGTCACGTTGTCCGGCGCCACATTTTCCTAACGGAAACCCTGGTCTGAGGGTGTGTGTTAGGGAACGATGCACACACACAGCACTCTCACCTCCACAGGGATGTCCCAGCGGAGTCTCTGAGGGGGCGGTAAGGAGCGCTCCACTTCTCCCTTGCAGTGGCCGTCCTCTGTGTAACCCAGTTGGAAGGCATCTGTGGCCAGGGTGAACTGAGGACAGACAGAGAGCAGCTGTTACACACACACACACACACATGCAGACACATGTAGACACACACACAAAGACACGCAGAGACACACAGAGACACGCAGAGACACACAGACACTTAAAATCAGACTCAAAGTTCAGTGGCTTCAACATAAACAAAGAGTTCAGAACACACAGAAAATGTATGTCAAAAACGAATATATTTATCACTTCTGGCCGCTATCTGATGAAGCAAAGCTTGAGAATATCCCATTTGGATAATAACTGGAACATCCTGATCTTGGCCAACCTCTATTTAAGCACATGTACTTTTAGCCACATATCTGGCCATATGTAGTCTACCTCACACACACACTAAAATCTGCAAGATCAGATTATTCTAAATTAAACCAAGTGCTTTATCTCCATTGAGGACAGGTCATTTGGGCTGTTTTAACCTCGTTATCTCCAGCACCATACTAGTGTCTACACAATGTGAAAACGGCACATTTCTATGTTCTGTAGCTAAAAAGATCAGAAGAAAAGGTCCTAATAAAGTGCCATTTGACTATGCCTGTGTTTGACAGATAGACATTCACACACACACACACCTCCCACAGGTGTGCCACTGTCGGGGCGTCGGCCCAGGAGTGCTCTGCATTCAGCCCATTCTTCCCATTCTTGTACACCACCACCGAGAAGGACTTATCAAACCACCTGAGAGAGAGAGAGAGGGGGTGGGGGGGTCAGGAGAGAGGAGAGAGAGAGCTAGATCAATTAGCTTAGTGCTTTTAGTTTTGAGAGTTGACCACACACTATCAAAGCAGAAATATATATCCCCTGACCACCCACCACTGTCCTGCTCCAGCCAAAACAGACTAATATTTACTCATTACTCATCAATCTAATTGAGAGTTCAATACTGTATTATATTGTTTTGTATGAGTGCCATACAGACAGGAAACCACTGGAACTTAGACACAGATGTGAAGCACTTGATTTGGAGGGGGAGAAGAGGGTGTACAAGAGGAATTTGGGCCTGGTGTCGATAATTCTAAACAACCAGAACCATGTCCCTGGATGGTATATATCCGTCAATTACTTCACTTAAGCAGCTGGTGCTCTTGGACATTTGCTGCTAATTCAATCAGGTTGTCACACCATGTTTTTGTGTGTGTGTGTGTGTGTGTGTGTGTGTGTGCGTGCTAATGTGTGTGTAAGCCTACAGTACAGCACGTGTGAAAGGAAGAGAGGATCAAATGGACCAGATGAAGACTCCATCTGTTTACAATTCAACTCAACTGGTAGAGCACGGCGCTTGTAACGCCAAGGTAGTGGGTTCGATCCACGGGACCACCCATACACAAAAATGTATGCACGCATGACTGTAAGTCGCTTTGGATAAAAGCGTCTGCTAAATGGCATATTTATTTTTATTTATTTAGATACCGGTAGACTATGATAGAGCTGAAGAGCAGATGTCCTTCACTAACAGCTTTGCCCTGTGGGCCTAGGCCACATCCCAAATGGCACCCTATATGGTGCACTACTTTTGACCAGAGCGCTATGGGCCCAGGCAGAGGCCCTGGTCAAAAGTAGTGCACTACAGTATATAAGGAATAGGATGCCATTTGGTACGCAACCCTAGTACCAGACCCTCCTGTAGAAGAGTGAGATGGATTGAATGTTCTCTCGTTGCGTGGAAACTGGGAAAGGCAGAGTTGGACACTCTATTAACTGGTTCTAATTCACTCCCTAGCCCTTCCCGTTGGCCCTATCCTGTCAATGTTCACAGATCTGTAAGGTGTTAGCAATAAGGTAGAAGCTCCACCACGATTATACATTTCTACAAAATAAAATCTTATTTTAATACGCCTGCACCACACACAGTCACACACCTGTCGTAACATTTTCCATGGAGGAGGGACTTAGCGTAGCGGTCCAGGTTTCCCACTGGGTCTTCTCCCATCATGCCTTGCTCCTCATCGTCCAGGGTGACAAAGAAGGCGGCCCTCTCGATGCAGTCCAGCGAGCGCTTGTTCACCCCTGAGCTGAAGTACTGCTTTCTTACGGTACACCAAGGCACCCTGGGACAAAACGCATCCAAATCACACCAAACTTTATTTAAAAAGGTAGCCTCAACACAGTGTACTGTATTTCTTACTTACAGAAAGACATCAATATCAACAGCAACCAAATCTGACAAGAATCTGCCATTTTACTGAACATATGGGAATATGTTCCCCTTCTCTAAACCACTCACTGCAGAACAGTATGTATAGCGATAATGAAACTTAAGAATACTTGACAGTAGTGTGAAAGTGTTCCCATGGGACATGCCAGGACAAAACACCCCATGACCAGACTAATTCAACCGTGTGGTTGGAAATGTTTCTTGCTCAACAGCTGAACCCTATTAGCAGTCATCATGACGAGCTGAGGATTGACTAGAGACACAAAGATACAATGGCGAGAACAAGGGTGTGCTGCTGCTACCACACCCACGTCCCCAGGAAATAATGTGAGTATTTACTAATTGTGATATGAACAGAGTCGTTTTATGTGTCTGCGTGTGTGTGCGCGTGTGTGTCGTGTTTGAGTGTGAGTGAGAGAGAGAGAGAGAGTCTTACTCATGACCCTAGCCCTCACCCTCCGATCCAACAGGTCCCAGACGTGCTCAATGGGATTGAGATCCGGGCTCGTCGCTGGCCATGGCAGAACACTGACATTGCTGTCTTGCAGGAAATCACGCACAGAACGAGCAGTATGGCATTGTCATGCTGGAGGGTCATGTCAGGATGAGCCTACAGGAAGGGTACCACATGAGGGAGGAGGATGTCTTCCCTGTAACGCACAGCGTTGAGATTGCCTGCAATGACAACAAGCTCAGTCTGATGATGCTGTGACACCGCCACAGACCATGACGGACCCTCCACCTCCAAATCGATCTTGCTCCAGAGTACAGGCCTCGGTGTAACGCTCATCCTCCTTCGTGAGACAAAACCGCGACTCGTCAGTGAACAGCACTTTTTGCCAGTCCTGTCTGGTCCAGCAACGGTGGGTTTGTGCCCATAGGCGACGTTGTCGCCGGTGATGTCTGGTGAGGACCTGCCTTACAACAGGCGCACAAGCCCTCAGTCCAGCCTCTCTCAGCCTATTGCGGACAGTCTGAGCACTGATGGAGGGATTGTGCATTCCTGGTGTAACTCCCGCAGGTGTGATGTTCGGATGTACCGATCCTGTGCAGGTGTTGTTACACGTGGTCTGCCACTGCGAGGACGATCAGCTGTGCGTCCTGTCTCCCTGTAGCGCTGTCTTAGGCGTCTCACAGTACGGACATTGCAATTTATTGCCCTGGCCACATCTGCAGTCCTCAAGCCTCCTTGCAGCATGCCTAAGGCACGTTCACGCAGATAAGCAGGGACCCTGGGCATCTTTCTTTTTGTGTTTTTCAGAGTCAGTAGAAAGGCCTCTTTAGTGTCCTAAGTTTTCATAACTGTGACCTTAATTGCCTACCATCTGTAAGCTGTTAGTGTCTTAACAACCGTTGCACAGGTGCATGTTCATTAATTGTTTATGGTTCATTGAACAAGCATGGGAAAGAGTGTTTAAACCCTTTACAATGAAGATCTGTGAAGTTATTTTGATTTTTACGAATTATCTCTAAACGACCGGGTCCTGAAAAAGGGAGGTTTCTATTTCTTTAACCGCTGTTCCTCCTCTTTCACTTCATCTCACCTTTAGCCTCACTCGATCCCCTGTCCCACAGTTCAGTTCCCTTCCCTCCATGCATTCTCAACCAACATACTCTGCATTTCTCTTTTCCATCTCTCCATTCTCTACTTCCCTTTTGCTTAATTTTTAGACCCTTCTCGTCTTCTCTTCCTCTTTGTGACTTCTCCATCTCTCTGTTTACTCCTCTCTACACGCTTCCTTTCCACCATTTTGTCCAAGTTGTAGTCAGACCACTTAGACTTTGAGGTGATTGATGGAAGCTCTACTTGTCTGTGGTATCCTGCAGACCTGGGTTCAAATACTATTCGAAATCATTTCAAATACTTTAGTTGTGTTTGTTTGAGCGTGCTTGGCTCAATGGACCAATACAATGGTCCCGAAAACGAAAACCCTGTCCACCTGGCACACCATGAATGGTCAAAGTATTTGAAAGATTTCAAATCATATTTGAACCCATGTCTGTTATCCTGCAGTGCTATCATTGTCTGATCTCTCAAGCCAAAGTCTGCACATCTATAGCCGTCTCAGGCATAATGAACATGAGCTTTGTAGGGCCATCTAGTAGCCATACATCAGATCATGCAAAACACTACACTGTCATATTTAGGGGGATATCCTGGTAATGAAAATGCAGAGAACTGTAGTTGCAGTGGGTACATACACCTATGTATACAGGCGCTCACGCACACCCCTCTTCCCCCCACCACTAGACACCTGTCTCCAGCAGTCAGTGCTCCCAGCCTGTCTTCTCCAGGTCCGGGGGGTGAGGGGTCATCTAGGATCCTCTGGATCTGGTACTCTATCTCTCTAGGGGAGAGGAGACGCCCCGCCTTGTAGACCCACAGCCTGAAGTAGCGCCCCCGGTGGTAGACTGCCACAAATTCACTGTCCTGCCAGTGCTGCAGCACGTCTGGAGAGGAGACACGCGTCAAGAGAAAGAGATAGACCGAGCGAGCGCGTGAGTTGGTTAGTGGCTGATGTAGAACACTACTCATACTGTTGTCTCATTTCCTTGATGGTCAAAGCTATCAAATAAAGATTCCAAAACTGACTTTCTTGCCACTCAGTCTCTTTTGTGAGTGTGTGTGTGGGTGTATTACCAGTCTCCTCTCCTGGAGTGCGAGTAGTGTTGAACATCCTCTCACACTGAGCTGCACACAGAGGGATGACTGTACCTGGAACACGACTCTGAGAGAGTGAGAGAAAAACTGTTTGGTAGTTATATTATCTTCACATTGTTTAACCTCAAATGCCATTAATTTAATCCATGACAATATGAATTTAAGAATGAGAGAGAGAGAGAGAAAGAGAGAGGTCAGTGGCAGAGGTCATTGACGACAGTCAGTGGCAGAGTTCCGTAAAAAAAAGACCACATCAGCAGAAAAATTCTATAGAACTCGGTTAAAGATCCTTCAAACAACACTTTCACACAGCTGCTTCGATGAAATAGCCAGCTAATATGAGTAGATACACCAAAACAACCTATGTTCATCTTCAATATCCTTCATGAAGTAGGAATTGAGGAAAGGAGGACAATGAAGAATTAGAAGAAAACAGTGTTTAACAAAGTTGGCTGGCTATTATTCATTTATTTATTTGGCATTTTGCAGGATGAACTCTTGATATGTTTTCTCTATTATTATTATCATAATAATAATCTATTATTAATATATATTTGTTTTTATTATTATCTAATTCATAACTCAGTGCTCCAGTTTGGTAAGATACTGTAGCATTCATGACACCAAAGATGATGGATATACTGACAAGATACATGTCTCTCCGCCCTAACAATGTATGAATCACATTCATATTGGGCATCCGTCTTGGGTGAGTCATTTTCCACAAAGCGGCACGCCGGGCTTCTAGCTCCCGCCTATCCTTTCTTTAGATTGGTGGATACATCTCATTATTGTAATCCTTTTTTGAATATTCGATGTGGGTTGTTGATGTCAACCACCTGTATTCAATGAAGAGAGATGTTATGCTACTAGCCTCATGCCATGAATATGCATAGCCATTGAGACAAGTCTGATATAAAGTGTTTTTTCTCAAAGTTGCCAGGATGTCACATTTCCTACTTATATCAGTACACTCGTAACAACTTAAGCATTACGAAACTTTTATTAGATCAAATAAACCTCATGTAGCAAATATGCCATAAATTTTTTATTTGACCAATTCAACACTCGTTGACCTCCATACAAAAACGTCTTGCTTTGTGGGTGAAACAATGAAAAATCGCCACCTGCTGGAGGGAGACAGATTTTGCACCGAGTTGGGCCTCTCTCTTCCTCTTTGACAACACCCACCCACATCTACAAACTGACAAAATGCTGTAAATGACAGTAAGACAGAATCTGGTTTGACCAGCCACAGGCTGGAAGGAACCACACCTGGAATGAGGAGCTCTCTTTTACATAAACCTCTTCACTGGCCTATATTCTCTGTGGCCTTTACCCCACTGACTCACCCAAGACGGATGCCCAATATGAATGTGATTCATACAGTAACAGCATGCGTCCCAAATGGCACCCTATTCCCTGTAAGGTGCACTACTACTATAGGCCGCTACAGGGCCCATAAGGCTCTGGTCAAAAGTAGCGGACTATATAGAGAAAAGAGTGCCATTTTGGACAAACCCTTTATGAATGACTATTATTTCCCATAGTGACGTCAGTTCTATTCATATAAACTATGTCTGCAGCAACAGCAGTCCAATACAGACAGTTAGGGGAATCTCACTACTATTCCAATGGGTTCCTTGGATCGTTAACTTGATAAATTATCATTGAATAATAGCATGCATAACCAGGTCAGCTCAGTACAGCTTGGCTCGGATTAGTAGTGAGAAAAGGGTACAGCTCTGTACTGGTGGTTGTGTAGTGCAGTGTATATGTGTACTAGTACTAGTAGCAGTACTCACAGGTTTGAGCTGCTCAGTGTTGACCTTGCGTCGGTAGAGCAGCAGAGCAGTGATGGTGTTGCCGGCCCTCGCTGCCTGGATGGGCGTGGGAGTCACATACAGAAAGTCCTAGTGAAGGAGAGGGGAGGGGTCAGAGATGGAGGTGAGAGAGAGAAAAATAAATAGAAAGAGAGTGAGAGACAGACTGAGGGAGAGACAGAAACAAACAGAGACCGGTAAGGACATGTGGCACTAGAGCAGGTTTCCGGGGGCAACATTCCCAGCATTTCCGGTAGTAGAGGAATTCCTGCCCCAGCTCTGTCTCTGGAATGTCACAATAAGCCAATGGAGAGGGGACAGGGGAGGGAGAGGGCACTCTAGGGTTTTGGGAGGGTTGGAAGGAGAAAGGTAGGAGTGAAGGTCTGAGAACTGAAGGCATGAAGGAGGGTGGTATATGTTGCGGAAGAGAGGAGAGTGTCTCACATAGACAGTATAACAGTATATTTAAAGTGTACACAGAGTATACCAAACATTAGGAACACCATGTTGACTCCAACGCTTCCCACAGTTGTGTCAAGTTAGATGGATGTCCTTTGGGTGGTGGACCATACTTGATACACACGGGAAACTGCTGAGCGTGAAAAACCCAGCAGTGTTGCAGTTCTTGACACAAACCGGTGTGCCTGGCACCTACTACCATACCCTGTTCAAAGGCACTTTCCATTTTTTGTCGTGCCCATTCACCCTCTGAATGGCACACATACACGTCTCATTTGTCTCAAGGCTTAAAAATCCTTCTTTAACCTGTCTCCTGCCCTTCATCTACACTGATTGAAGTGGATTTAACAAGTGACGTCAATAAGGGATCACAGCTTTCACCTGGATTCACCTGGTCAGACAATGTCATGGCCTCCTGTAGCTCAGTTGGTAGAGCATGGTGCTTGCGATGGCAGGGTTGTGGGTTCGATTCCCACGGGGGGCCAGTATGACAAATGTATGCACTCACTAACTGTAAGTCGCTCTGGATAAGAGCGTCTGCTAAATGACTAAAATGTTTAAAAAATCTAACATGTAAAATGAAAGAGTTCTTAATGTTTTGTATACCCAGTGTATATCTATAGTGTATCGTGGGAAGAGCAGTACCATGCCATAGTAGTTGCTGTTGACCATGATGGGGCCTCGTCCTCTCAGGTAGATGTACTCCTCCCACCAGTCACTCACCTGACAGACAGAGAGAGAGAGGGAGAGTGAGAGCGAGAGATTAGAAGTGAAATCATTATACTACAACAACTATGAGCCTAAGTGAATGAGCGAACTCTGTGTGTGTGTGTGTGTGTGTTTGTGAACAAACAAACAGTGTGTGTGTGCAGCAGTGAGTCAACTCACATAGTTGGTAGCCCACAGAGCTTTGAGCTTGAGATAGCGCTGCAGCCTGTTCCCCAGACTGTTCTCAAACTGAGCCGCCAACACAGTCATCCGCTCGAACCCTGGACTGCTCAGCAACGGACGCACAGACTCCAGGTACTAAGGGAAAGAGACACACCACACACCTCGGTTCAAAGCATTGTACTGTGGTGTCTTCATTAGTTGTACGCCATAGCAAAACGTATAGCACCTTAGCAAAACATTCTGCAACAGAAACCGTTTACTCCGAACATACATATTTTCGCAACAAAAACAAGAGTTTCTATTGGAAATATTCTGCTAGGTCCCTCCCTGTTTCGTTCTGTTTGCCTCCATTTGGTTCCTAGTGAATACACCCCAGGTATCAATGTTGCACCCATTCCACTCTGATTCAGTACATTCTATTCAGGAAAATACATTTAAAATTCAATTGCTGCAATGACCAAGATAAAACGGATGTTCAATCTTTGTCAGTTTTCATGTGACAACCAGCCATTTCAATTCTTCAAACTCTGTCAGGTTGGTTGTTGATCATTGCTAGACAGCCATTTTCAAGCCGATTTAAGTCTAAACTGTAACTACGCCACAGGAACATTCAACGTCATCTTGGTAAGCAACTCTACTGTATATTTGGCCTTGTGTTTTAGGTTATTTTCCTGTGTTTAAGGTGATTTGTCTCCCAGTAACCATGTATCCATCCAGTTTTTATGCGAGTAAAATCATACTGTATAAAAAAAAGAATCACGACAGCTGTGATGTAAACAGGAAGTTTCAGTAAAATGTGCTAAACGGCGACAGATAATTTGTTCATTTGACATGGTGGGATCTTTTTGTGTCGGTAAAATTTCATTTCTTCGCCACATTTTTTGCAGTATTACTTAAAACGCCTTATTGCAAACAGGATGCATGTTTTGGAATATGTTTTATTCTGTACAGGCTTCCTTCTTCTTGACACTTAGGTTAGTATTGTGGAGTAACTACAATGTTGTTGATCCATCCTCAGTTGTTATCTCCTATCACAGCCATTAAACTGTGTAACTGTTTTAAAGCCACCATTGGCCTCGTGGTGAAATCCCCGAGCAGTTTCCTTCCGCTCCGGCAACTGAGTTAGGAAAGATGCCTGTATTTTTGTAGTGACTGGGTATATTGATACACCATCCAAAGCATAACTGATAACTTCACCATGCTCAAAGGGATATTCAAAGGGATAGCTTTTTATTTTTTCAACCATCTACCAAAAGGTGCCCTTCTTTGCGAGGCATTGGAAAACCTCAATGGTCTTTGTGGTTGAATCTGTGCTTGAAACTCACTTCTCGACTAAGGGACTTTACAGATAATTGTACAGTGCTTTTTCCACATCCCCCAAATTTTTTTTTTTACAAAATTCTACACACAATACCCCATAATGACAAAGCAAAAACAGTTTTATTTGTGTGCAAATTAATAAAATATTTAAACAAGAAATAGCTTATTTACATAAGTATTCAGACCCTTTGCTATGAGACTCGAAATTGAGCTCAGATGCATCCTGTTTCCATTGATCATCCTTGAGATGTTTCTACAACTTGATTGGAGTCCACCTGTGGTAAATTCAATTGGTTGGACATGATTTGGAAAGGCACACACCTGTCTATATAAGGTCCCACAGTTGACAATGCATGTCAGAGTAAAAACCAAGCCATGAGGTTGAAGGAATTATCCGTAGAGCTCAGAGACAGGATTATGTTGAGGCACAGATCTAGGAAAGGGTACCAAAAAATCTCTGCAGCATTGAAGGTCCCCAAGAACACAGTGGCCTCCATCATTCTTAAATGGAAGAAGTTTGGAACAACCAAGACTCTTCCTAGAGCTGGTCGCCCGGCCAAACTGATCAATCGTGGGAGAAGGGCCTTGGTCAATGAACCCGATGGTCACTCTGACAGAGCTCCAGAGTTCCTCTGTGGAAATGGGAGAACCTTCCAGAAGGACAACCATCTCTGCAGCACTCCACCAAATCAGGCCTTTATGGTAGCGTGGCCAGACGGAAGCAACTCCTCAGTAAAAGGCACATGACAGCCCGCTTGGAGTTTACCAAAAGGCACCTAAAGACTCTCAGACCATGAGAAACAAGATTCTCTGGTCTGGTGAAACCAAGATTGAACTATTTGGCCTGAATGCCAAGTGTCACGTCTGGAGGAAACCTGGCACCATCCCTACGGTGAAGCATGGTGTTGGCAGCATCATGCTGTGGGGATGTTTTTCAGCGGCAGGGACTGGAAGAGTAGTCAGGATCGAGGCAAAGATGAACGGAGCAAAGTACAGAGAGATCCTTGATGAAAACCTGCTCCAGAGCACTCAGGACCTCAGACTCAGGTGAACGTTCACCTTTCAACAGGACAACAACCCTAAGCACACAGCCAAGACAACGCAGGAGTGGCTTCGGGACAAGTCTCTGAATGTCCTTGAGTGGCCCAGCCAGAACCCGGACTTGAACCCGATTTAATATCTCTGTAGAGACCTGAAAATAGCTGTGCAGCGACGCTCCCCATCCAACCTGACAGAGCTTGAGTGGATCTGCAGAGAAGAATGGGAGAACCTCCCCAAATACAGGTGTGCCAAGCTTGTAGCGTCATACCCAAGAAGACTCTATGCTGTAATTGCTGCCAAAGGTGCTTCAGCAAAGTACTGAGTAAAGGGTCTGAATAGTTATGTAAATGTGATATTTCCGTTTTTTTTATTTTTTTTATATACAGTTGAAGTCAGAAGTTTACATACACTTAGGTTGGAGTCATTAAAACTCGTTTTTCAACCACTCCACAAAGTTCTTGTTAACAAACTATAGTTTTGGCAAGTCAGTTAGGACATCTACTTTGTGCATGACACAAGTATTTTTCCAACAATTGTTTACAGACAGATTATTTCACTGTATCACAATTCCAGTGGGTCAGAAGTTTACATACAGTAAATTCACTGTGCCTTTAAACTGCTTGGAAAATTCCAGAAAATGATGTCATGGCTTTAGAAGCTTGCCATAACAAAGGGGTTGAATACTTATTGTCTCAAGACATTTCAGCTTTTCATTTTTAATTAATTTATTTAAAAAATATATACATACGAAAATTCCCCTTTGACATTATGGGGTATTGTGTGTAGATCAGTGAAACAAAATCTCAATGTAATCCATTTTAAATTCAGGCTGTAACACAACAAAAATTGGATAAAGTCAAGGGGTGTGAATACTTTCTGTAGGTACTGTCTCTCCGCCACTAGGGTGAACTGGACACTTAGGTTGGTTGTGCATTTGGGGGAAGCTGATCCTGGATATGTGCACACTCACCCTCTCCAGTGTGTCTTTGATGGGTGGGACGGGCAGGCAAGGTAGAGAGGTCTGATAGCTGTACAGGAGAGGCTTCCTGCCAGACAGCAGACGCACCAGGGTCTGAGAGAGGGGAGAGAGTGAGAACATAGTAGATTAATTTAAGACTACAATCACAGTACAACCAAATATTTTTTATAACTAAACCAAGATAGACCACAGCCTGTCGTTTCCAATGGGAACAAATAAGTCATTGTGGGCAGAACAAGCAAGGAGGTGGGCAAAGCCAAGCACCAGCTAGCGAAATCCTATTGGCGTGTTCTAGCATCCATCTGCATATTTCCATTAGAGAACGCCTACTCTGTGAAGTGTGTGGGTGCAATAACTCAATTCGCCTTTGCACTCCTTCTAAACAACGCGATTTTAAAAAAACGTTTGCAACGGGTAAAGTCTACAAAACTTTGTCCACTCTGTTCATAACAGATTCTAGTTTTGGGAACAAAAAAACTGTATTGAGATCAAATGTTTCATCGATGAGAAAATGTGCAGAAAATCCATCTCTTTGCACCTTCTCCCACTGCCGGCCAGTGGGCTTCCTCTCTCTACCATATTTGGTAGTGAGTGGAAACGCAAAGTGGATGCTTCACATTTATACATCCAGTGAAATATTTGTCTCATTGTTCTATCTGTGGTACAACTGCAGCTACCTCTCCTGTTAATGCATTTGCCACTGCATGTACTATTGACACAAATACCACTACCAGCAATTACAATACCACTATTAATCCATCCATCCATATACTACAGAAAAACGAACAACAGTGCTGGAGTGAGAAGTACAAAGAGTGTTTCCTCATTAACGTTTCCACAGTCTCTGGCATAGCATACATACCACCCAGACTTTGGTGGTGGTGGAGATGCGTCCGTGCTGCTCGAACATCCAGCGGTGGTAGGAGAGCAGCAGCTTGAGACAGAACCTCAGGGTCAGGATGAGAGATAGCCACAGCAGGGTACTGAACACAAGCACTGATAGCATGGTCTGGCCCTGTACACTCAGAGACAGACTACTGGTGGGGGGGGGGGGGGGGGGGGGGGGGGGGGGGGGGGGGGGGGGGGGGGAGAGAATACATCAAATTAATACATTACACTAGTAGACTGGTTGTCAGTATGGCTGTAGGTCTGTGAGAGACTAAGAAAACATTCACTGGATAAAAGAAAAATAAGTAATATGGTCAAATGTAGAAGATTAGAGCCCTGTACTGGCAGGAATCTTAAGAATGAGCCCTACCCATGTCAGCTGGTTATTGTCATGAAAAAGACTGCCAGTGTCACGGTAATTGACTGCAATTAACATAATCACATTTAGCATCTCCAGGCCTCCATGCATACAAGCTGCATACAAGCCACTGATGCACACCTTTGGAACATCTACCTTTAAAAAAAAGTCTAATAAATCAATTTAATATACCCCATCACAATAAATCCATTATTTATTTTAGTCAGGTCTAAAGAAACATTAGGATATTAAGAAAATGTATTTCAGAAGAACAGAATATGCGTTGGCCTACTGTATGTTATCTGGCTATGCTCCATGCCAATATAAATCCCATGCCATTATTTTATATAATGTGATTTTATAGTAATAAGAATATAATTGAACAGCTGAATAAAATAGAAGATATATTTTTCCCATTCCGGAGCGAGTGTGCATATGAAGTGGATATGTTGAGTGTAAAAAGTGATCATTTGAAAAAGGTCCTATATGCTAGATTTAGAGTTGTTTGGAAACTTTAGTTATGAATGATACAAACCTTAGAATGTCTTAGAAATCAAAAGATATGGGCTGCATGATGCGACTACAGGCTATTGATGATTTGAGAAAGTCGCTAAAAAAGCTTGCGCTCGGTTCCTTGCCTCAGGCTGCACAGCGTTTCTCTCATAAAGTGATAATATTTTCACCCATCAGACTATTCTCAATTGAATCTTGTCTTTACAAATATATCAAATGTTTGTATTTAGAATGGCCCATTATTAAAATGGCAGGAACAGGGGCAGGGGGAAAAAATACTTCACACACGCTTTACATTTACTCATTGAACGCAATGAATGTTATCATGGGCGGAGAAAGGGAGGAGTGCGCAGGAATGTGAGTATACATAAATGGTAAAGTGAGTCAGCCATGACTATAGTCAGCTAAGCCCAGGATGTAGCTTTAATAAGAGGATAGGTCATGTGTAGTATAACACCCGTTATAAACTGGGTGGTTCGAGTCCTGAATGCTGATTGTCTGAAAGCCGTGGTATATCAGAACTTATACCACGGGTATGACAAAACATGTATGTTTACTGTACTAATTATGTTGGTAACCAGTTTATAATAGCAATAAGGCAATGCCTAAGAACAGCCCTTAGCCGTGGTATATTATCTGTATTCGGTCAGTCAGTCAGTGTGTATAGCATCTACTACACAAAGTAACTATCTCCCCTCCCTCCCTCCCTCCCTCCCCATCTCACGCTCTCCCTACTTGCCTCTCTCTTCCTCCCTAGGACAGTGTGTGATGTAGTTACCTCACAGGGAGAGGTAGTGAGTGATGTAGCTAGTTACCTGACAGGCAGGTGCTCCTGGATTTTGGCAATGAGGCCCATGGAGGGGTCAGAGCGCATGTACATGGTGGCCAGGATTGCTATGACAACAAACAGCCAGGAGGAAGGGCTGGCAGGGTACACCCCTTTGATCACCCTGTTCTGTCACCACAGAAGAACAGCACAGTATGAATATACTGTACATAGAATATTAAATGTTAGGACTGGTAGAAAATATACAGGTAAAGGTCAGTGTACAGGATACTTAAAGACCAGTAGAAAAACATATAGTGTCAGTATATAGGATTAATTGGATATTGTTACCTGAGGAAGAGTAAAGAAAGTAGTAAATATGCTTAAGGGTGAAATAGCGAAGAACCCACAGAGATGGTGATATACTGTATATTGATATGAATATACTGTACATATACCTAGATAGATAGATAGATAGATAGGTGTAGAGGAAGATGTGGTACATACTGTACATAGAGAACCCTTAATCTCAACATCACCCAATTCAAACTCTTAAACATGCCTGGGGCAAGTTCAGCAGGAGTTTGAAGAAGGAACTGCTGCACAAAAAAGTAAACAATCCAACGTTGGAATTGAAACAAAAACTTTAAGAACGGGTGCGGCTTTGCTTCAAGTCAACATCCCATAACAATGTTTGAGCGTGCACAAGGGACACCATAGAAATCAGGTTGGGCGGTGTGTCGGCTTGAACACTAGTTCAATACTTTAACGTACATGTAGGCCTAGCCATTATTGAGCCTTCTTTCCTTGTAAATATCCTTTGATGTCTGTTGTTGTTGTTTTAAATGTGGTTTTGTCTGTATGTAATGATTGCTGCAAAATGAATTGCCTCAGAGGACATTAAAGTTTTCTAAACTAGTTGAGCACTTCAGCATAGACAACATGAGGGAAGTGACATTGCATGAAAAAAGCCATGCAACACAAGCTCACAAAACAGCAGGAACACTTATCTGCACAGCTGTATCATGAGCAGAGCAAAATAAGTAATGTGCTAACAAAAAGGTCTTTGTTGACATATTTTAAACATCAGTGCAGCTCGTTCTCCTCTGCATCAGGCTCTGTAGCACCTACATATTGCATTTCACAGAACATGAGCACACATGCATACATTCGCTCATACATAGACACACACTCATGTTCTCATATACAGTGCATTCGGAAGGTATTCAGACCCTTTGACTTTTTCCATATTTTGTTATGTTACAGCCTTATTCTAAAATGGATTAAATAAAACAATTTCCTCATCAACCTACACACAATACCCCATAATGACAAAGCAAAAAACAGGTTTTTATTTTTTGCAAATGTATTTAAAATAAAAAACAGATACCTTATTTACATAAGTATTGAGACCCTTTGCTATGAGACTCGAAATTGAGCTCAAGTGCATCCTGTTTCCATTGATCATCCTTGAGATGTTTCTACAACTTGATTGGAGTCCACCTGTGGTAAATTCAATTGATTGGACATGATTTGGAAAGGCACACACCTGTCTATATAAGGTCCCACAGTTGACAATGCATGTCAGTAAAAACCAAGCCATGAGGTTGAAGGAATTATCCGTAGAGCTCAGAGACAGGATTATGTTGAGGCACAGATCTAGGAAAGGGTACCAACAAATCTCTGCAACATTGAAGGTCCCCAAGAACACAGTGGCCTCCATCATTCTTACATTTAAGAAGTTTGGAACCATCAAATCAGGCCTTTATGGTAGAGTGGACAGACAGAAGCCACACCTCAGTAAAAAAGGTACATGACTGTCTACTTGGAGTTTGCCAAAAGGCACCTAAAGACTATCAGACCATGAGAAACAAGATTCTCTGGTCTGATGAAACCAAGAAACCAAGATTGAATGCCAAGCGTCACGTCAGGAGGAAACCTGGCACCTGCTCTACGGTGAAGCATGGTGGTGGCAGCATCATGCTGTGGGGATGTTTTTCAGTAGCAGGGACTGGGAGAGTAGTCAGGATCGAGGATTGAGGGAAAGATGGACGGCGCAAAGTACAGAGAGATCCTTGATGAAAACCTGCTCCAGAGCGCTCAGGACCTCAGACTGGGGCGAAGGTTCACCTTCCAACAGGACAAAGACCCTAAGCACATAGCCAAGACAACGCAGGAGTGGCTTCGGAGCAAGTCTCTGAATATCCTTGAGGGCCCAGCCAGAGCCCAGACTTGAACCCGATCGAACAGCTCTGGAGAGACCTGAAAATAGCTGTGCAGCGACGCTCCCCATCCAACCTGACAGAGCTTGAGAGGATCTGCAGAGAAGAATGGGAGAACCTCCCTAAATACAGGTGTGCCAAGCTTGTAGTGTCAAACCCAAGAAGACTTGAGGCTGTAATCGCTGCCAAAGGTGCTTCAACAAAGTACTGAGTAAAGGGTCTGAATACTTAAGTAAATGTGATATCAGTTTTTTATTTTGAATATAATCTATAATTATAATTCCCTTCTCAGAGCTGCCAATTGCCGTGCTCCGAAGCATCACTCGCATGGCTCTCTCAGATATCTCAATTCTTATTAGCCAATGCCTGTCACGTGATCGGATCCTTCTCACAGGCATCTTAGATCCGAAGTGGAGACAGACACATCTGGGACGCAACTGCGCGTGTCCTTCTTATCGAGTTCCGAGGCGCATATTGAAGATGTTAGAAGAACTGTCCACATTTACTTTTTGTCAGCCAACAAGATGAGTAGGCCTAACGAAGAGCAAACGCACTAGCCTATGTCAATCTACTATCCCCCATAGTACAACATTTTACCTATTCTATTGGTCAACTTGTCCTTCTGTGCGAGAAAGAAATGAGATTATGCATGTAATGCTTTAATATAAAGGTGCATTTAAGGTGAAAATTATCTTCCCCAAACTTGAAACTCACGCGCCACCTACATTTACCAGTTAGGCTCTACACTGGTTGTAAAGCAGATTAATGTGCTTCCTTTTAAGAAGTTATTTGGCCACTTTAGTTGCGATACAAACCTTATCAAAACATATAGGCCTATGGGCTAGGCTACATGAGGTGTGCGACTATGATTTGAAAAAGTAACACAAAAAAAAGCATGTGATGTTTCTTGCCTTACTGCACACGCTGGGCATTATTCACAAGTGATAATTGTCACCTATCAGACTATTCTTAATTTAATCTAAATACTAAATAATATATGTGTGAAATTAGTTTTGATTTAGAATGAACCATTATTATGCACCTGTCTCTGCACAGGGGCAGGGGGAAAATACATGTCATCTATGCACTTAAAAAGCAAATGGAGGACGCTTTTTCCGTGGTTCATTTTCATGCCAGGCAGGCTATACTCCTGTTGTAAAGTGGCTGTAGGTAATAATACAAGAAACGTTCTGAGCAAATAATGTAAGAAATAACACACACAAAAATAATGCAAAGTTGTCTCTGAGCTAAAAATAGGGTGACCATGTCTTTCGGCGCCATCTTGTTATCACCCACAACCACCCTCACCCCCCATTGGTCCTTCCTTACCCTCATGCGGCTGATCCTCTTCTTCCAGGAGCGCAGGCCAGAGAGGTAGATTTGGGACAGGGCCTGATAGGAAAGGCGCAGGTCGATCCCCTCTGGGGTGATGGTGAACTGGAACGCTACTGCCTGGTGGGCCTCCGCCATCGCTACGGAAACAGGACCAGAGTTACATACAATAATCTGCTCTATTTAGTCACTTTCACATATTTCACTCTACTGGTGGTCTAGAGTCACAGACTAGTCACACATGCCACCGCCTGGTGGGCATCTGCCATCGCTATGGAAACAGGACCAGAGTCACATACAATCATCTATTAAACAGGAAATCACAGTTACAACTACAGTACCATCACTATAGAAACAGGACCACGCAGTTGCATAAAATATTCTACTGATGGTCTTCCTCAGGGCTCTCCAACCCTGTTCCTGGAGATCTACTGTCCTCTAGGTTTTCACTCCAACACTAATCTAGTGCAGCTGATTCTAATAAATTAGCTGGTTGATAAACTGAATCAGGTTAATTACAACTGTGGTTGGAGCGAAAACCTACAGGAGAGTAGCTTTCCAGGAACAGGGTTGGAGAGCCCTGGCCGACAATAGGCAATGTTTTCAGAAAGCAGGATTCCCCATTATAGTCAATGGGAGTATGGCGGTCTTCATGGATATAAAATTATATAAATCTGAACACAATCATGGTACCAATACTTCCTTCTATTTTACAAGAAGTATATCCTTGAACCGATTTTATTTTATCGCACACAGAAGAAGTTATAACGTTAATTTGCAGCCTGCAGTACCCTGTCGGCCTTCAATTTGAGATACTCAATGAGAGGGGGCCGCACTGAGCTAGCTTGCAACGTCACTTCCTAGAGTAGCTCAAACTGCACGAGACATGGGGTATGTATGTTGGAACAAGCAATGCATATTTCTCCCTTCACTCTGATGGTTTTTGCATCTCTCTTTCTCTTCCCATCTGTCTCTTTCACAACCAGAGAGAAAGAGACAGTAAGAAGCGCGAGAGAAAGAAAGAGACAGTAAGAAGCATGAAAGAAAGAAAGAGATAGTAAGAAGCGCGAGAGAAAGTAAGAAGAGCTGTCATGTCTACTCACGCTCCGGCGCTCGAGGTCGCCAGTTGACTGTTCATTGCGCACACCTGCGTGGTATTATGACTCATCTGCACTCAATCACCTTATTGATTACCTCCCCTTATGTCACTCCCTTACATTCCTTCCCTAGGTGTTATTGAGTCTGTTCCTGTGTTTCATGTGTTTGTTTTGTTCCATGTTTTATTTAATTATTCAATTCACTCCCTGTACTTGCTTCCCGACTCCCAGCGTACACGTTACGAGAGCGAGAGAGACAGTGAGATTGAGAGGAATGAGGGAGTGGGTGTTTGAACTAGGTGACACTGTAAATTACAAAGAATCCATGCACACACACCAAAATGTGGAGGTGTGCACACACTGATGAAATACACAAAGAATGTGCATGTGACACACACACACAGAGAATAACAACAATTGAGGTATTGAGAGAATGAAGGAGAGGATTGTTGTTTAGCATAACAATCTTCCATGCTCAGGGGAAGGCAGCTGGCATGCCTCCCGCTCCTCTCCTCTCTGCAAGTGAAAGACTACATGCCTGCTCTGCATCCAAGAAGCCTGAACAGGTTCAAACATTTAATTCTATAGTCTGCCAACAAACAAGATGAGTTACTGAGTTATTAATCTACATTCTCAAAGTCATTGGGAGTAGTTTCAGAGAACACTAGTTCAATACTGTGTGTATAGCAGCCCCCCAGCTATAGCTCTCTAGGTGGGGTCTTGGAAGCTTTACATTGTAAACCACACTGAATAAAACTATGGAAATACAACTATAAAAGTAGAATACTTTTCCTGGCAAGGTGGTGAAACAAGTTTCATGTTTACAAATAACCTTTGTACCCAGTAACCTGCAAACAGGTGTCTTGAAAATGATATACTATGTGGTAAATCAGGTTTGGCGTGATCATTGGGAGAAAAGAAAGAACTCGCTCCGGGAGTTAACTTGCACGTGAACGGGATGTTACAAATACTCTATTCACAATGCGCAGACTCCAAAACTGCGGGAACATGTGGTGTGCGTGCATAGTTGTCTATACTGCATGTTAATTGATAATAAATTAAATCAATTGACTAATTAACTGTGTGTGTAGGTATGTATTATACAGAATATAAAGGATAGGCCTACTTTTTCCACCCATCTCTGATTGCAGTGACATGGAATGTGCACGAAATTCAAGTGAAGGGAAGATGTATTTTAACATTTAGGGCTAAACAGTTGCCCTTCCACTTCCTACCTTTTTTTCAATCAAATTGTATTTATAAAGCATCTGCAGATGTCACAAAGTGCTATACAGAAACCCAGCCTAAAACCCCAAACAGGTTCTGAGGGTTGGCCAGTCCCATTCTGGCTGTGCCAGGTGGAGATTATAAAAGTACATGGCCATTAAGGCCAGATTTTTCTCCAAGATGTTCAAACATTCATAGATGACCAGCAGGGTCAAATAATAATCACAGTGGTTGTAGAGGTTGCAACAGGTCAGCACATCAGGAGTAAATGTCACTTGGCTTTTCATAGCCGTGCATTTAGAGGTTCAAATAGCAGGTGCGGTAGAGAGAGAGAGTTGAAAACAGCAGGTCTGGGACAAGGTAGCACGTCCGGTGAACAGGTCAGGGTTCCATAGCCGCAGGCAGAAGTGTGGAAACTGGAGTAGCAGCACGACCAGGTGGACTGAGGACAGCAAGGAGTCATCAGGCCAGGTAGTCCTGAGGCATGGTCCTAGGGCTTAGGTCCTCAGGGATGGGAGGGAGAGAAATGTGTGTAGGCCTATCAGCAAACACCTTTCAGTTATGTTATGACTTTTCTATATGAAAACTACAGGCCTACTTAGGCCCTAGCCTACTTGTAGCCAATAGTCTAATCTTATGCAACATTCCTACAAACTAGGGAATTATTATACGTTTTAGCCAAAAAAACTACTTGTTGCAAGCAGTGGTGGAAAAAGTACCCAACTGTCATACTTGACTAAAAGTAAAGATACCTTAATAGAAAATGACTCAAGTAAAAGTGAAAGTCACCCAGTAAAATATTACTTGAGTAAAAGTCTAAAAGTATTTGGTTTTAAATATACTTAAGTATCAAAAGTAAATGTAATTGTTAAAATATACTTAAGTAGCCTATCAAAAGTAAAAGTATAAATAATTTCAAATTCCTTATATTAAGTCAGATGGCACGAATTTAAATTATATATATATATATATATATATTTTTTTTTTTTACCGATAGCCAGGGGCACACTCCAGCACTCAGACAATTTACAAACAAAGCATGTGTTTAGTGAGTCCCCCAGATCAGTGGCAGTAGGGATGACCAGGGATGTTCTCTTGATAAGTGCGTTAAATTGGACCATTTTCCTGTCCTGCTAAGCACTCAAAATGTAACGAGTACTTCTGGGTGTCAGGGGAAATGTATGAAGTAAAAAGTATATTATTTTCTTCAGGAATGTAGTGGAGTAAAAGTATTAAAACATATAAATAGTAAAGTAAAGTACAGATACACAAAAAAAACGAAAGTAGTACTTTAAAGTATTTTTACTTAAGTAGCCTACTTTACACCACTGGTTGCAAGGTGTTGCCAGTTATTGAAGGGGCAACAGCAATGAATCGTTATCGGCTTTTATAGTTGCCATTAGCGACAGGTTGTCATGTCCATCTCAATTTCCTCCAAGAAGCATAAGAAATACGTTTTCTTAATTGATTACAGGCATAATGTGTATGATTATGATTATATTATAGACCCACTTAGACAAATGAAAAATAGGCCTATAACAAATTAATTAAAAGTAATGTTTTTAACTAACGACGCTATAATTCTTTCACCTGGCTGTTAGAGGTCCAAAAGCACGCGACACTCATGAAGCACTGACAAAGTAGCCTACTGTTCCATTGGAATATAATATTTTATTTAATTACTGTATCGTATATTCGTCAGAAACGGTTATGTTCCGCGTCCCTCGAACGAATGGTGGGTTCATTCAATATCGCACATCCATCGCTCGCTACAAACAAAAGCCAACACATGCACAGTTGCGGGCGCATCAATGAAATGTGCATATGGGAGAACATGTATCCAAGTAAACTGAAAACCCACGCCCAAGGAAAACCACAACGAATAGCCAAACAGTTGCTAGAAATACCTGTATTAGTCTTGAAATGTCTTGCCGGAAAAGCACACCAAAGAAGGAGTTATTCAAACACCGAATCTCTTTCTTTCATCCAACGACTCCTCTCACTCCCAGTGAAAACAGACTGGAGTAGATGGGCAGCTGCGGCAGAGAGCCACGTACATGCAGTGTTGCCAACTCCTCTTCTTCTTCCGTGGGGTTTATCGGCGGTTGGCATCCAACATTATCGTGCATTACCGCCACCTATCGTACTGGAATGTGGGCCAGAGACAGGGAGAAACTAAATCCTACCTGCCAACCCCGTTTCTCTTAAAAAAGATAGCAAAATATTTCAAACTATATCTAATGACGTTCTGCTCAAAATAATATTTAAACTAATTTCCTGTATCCCCTTCTCCCTCATACTAAATCGCATCCTCTCTCTTTCCCTCTGATACTGCCCACACTGTAGCAATACATGCTCCACAGTCTCTATTTCCTGACAATAATCACACTTTCCTGATGGATGCTTTCCTATCACGTTTAATGTCTTATTCAACTGGCTGTGTCCCACCCTTAATCTTGTAAAAATAGCCTCCTCTCTTCTGTCCCTTCCTGCCGTTCCCCCCTCCCCGACTTTCCTCTGTACCTGAAATAAATGCCTTCCCTTATTATTTATATTCCACTGCTCCTGCCATCTCTGCACCATCACTGTATATATATATCAGTCTTTTTGCCTCTGCCTTGCTCATTGACACTTCAACATCAACATCCCCACTACTAAGTGCTTGTTTAGCCTGTTCATCTACAGCCTCGTTCCCCTCCACCCCCACATGGGCTGGGACCCAAGTAAATGTTATCTGAATACCCATCTGTTTAATCCTGCCATGGGTTTGTAGCGCCTCATAATTACAGGTCTCCACCTGTAATGCAGCCACTGGGGACGTCCAAAACGCCCAACTACATATTCTGAGTCCTTGCCCCTGTATGACATTTAGCCTTTCCAGTGAGGCTGCCGAACCATATGCTATACTTCCATAATCTATTACAGATCGGATCAATGCAACATACATGGTCTTCAATGAGGAACGCCCAGCCCCCCACTCCTTCTCCGTCAGACAGCGCATCACATTTAGCACCTTCTTATACTTTCCCACCACTCTCTCAATGAGTTCTGCCCAGGTCAGTCTAGTATCAAAGTATACCCCAAAGAACCTGAAGGCCCCCACCCTCTCCAAGTTTCTCCCATATAACCTCAAGCATACCTCATCTCCCACCTTCCTCCTGGTAAATAACACTGTTTGAGTTTTCTCTACAGAGAACCTGAATCCCCACATTAATGCCCACCGCTCTACCTCATCAATTGCTTCCTGTACTTTCCTGACTATGTATAGCACATTTCTTCCGCTCTTCCATAAGGCACCATCATCTGCAAATAACGACCTCCCTATATCCGGCTGTACCTGAGAGTAAACAGAGAACAGAGGACTAATCACGCTCCCCTGCGGTGTACTATTATCCACCAAGTAGCTGCCTGATAAAGACTTCCCCACCCTCACCTGGATAGACCTTCCAAACAGGAAGTCCTTTATCCAGTTGTACATTCTTCCTCCTACCCCCATAATATCAAGCTTGATTAACAACCCCTCCTTCCACATCATATCATACGCCTTCGCCACATAAAAAAAGATAGCTACAACAGTTTCCTTGTTCACCTGAGCCTTCCTGAACCCACTCTGATGTGGCGTTACTAGCCCTCTGCTCTCCAGGAAGTAAGTTAGCCTCTCCGTAATCATACGTTCCATAATCTTACATACATGTGATGTTAAAGCTATTGGCCAATAGCTTGTTGGCTTCGTTGGATCTTTCCCGGGCTTCCGGATTGGTACCACTACTGCCTCCTTCCAACTGCCTGATAGTTTCCCCTCCTTCCACACTCTGTTTTACAACACCAATACCTTACCCAGTGCCTCATCACTAAGATGGGCCAACATAACATAGCACACCTCATCTTTCCCAGGTGAATCTGCCCTGGTAAATGGTGCACTCAACGCATCATTTACATTTTCCCTCCTTTCCAGCACTCCAGGATGCTCCTCTCTCGTGTTCTCTCTCCCCCTCTGCCCCTCCTCTGACAGATTTGCGGAGCTATGCACTTGGACAAATGCTTTTGGCCATCATCTCTGCTTTCTCCTCATCTGTTACTGCCACATCCTCCCCACTCGTCAACACTGGATAATCCCACTCCCTTCTGATCCCACTCATCTTCTTAATCATCCCCCACACTTCTCCCACAGGTGTTTCCCTTCCAATGGTGTCACAGAACCGATGCCAACATGACCTCTTTGCATGACGGATAGTTCTCCTCACCATGGCCTGGGCCTGTTTATCCTGAATCAGATGTTGGAAGTTATGCGTCCTTTTCAGTATTCTAAATGCCCTGTTCCTAATCTTCACCATTGCCCCACATTCCTCCGTCCACCATGGGACTGCTTTCCTCCTCCTTCTCCCTGAACTCTTAGGTATAGCCTCAGTAGCTGTTCTCACCCAGTTATTCATACTATCTACATCCCCTCTCATATCCACCCGAGCCATCACCTGCTCACTCAGCTCCTGAAACTGATCCCACTTTGCCCTTCCAAACACCCACCTGCCTACTCCATCCACTGACACCTCCTCCTCCCTCCGGCCTACTGTACATACTATGGGGTAATGATCACTCCCTACTGTCGACTCCTCCCATACCTCCCACTCACATATTCCTGCCATCGCACTAGATACCAGAGTGAGGTCCAAGGCAGACTCTTTCCCTGTGGCTACATCAATCCTGGTCCCTCGGCCATCATTCAGACACACCAGATCTTTCCTTTCTATCAAATTTTCCATCACTTGTCCATTTCCATCCACCCCCCCCCCCCCCCCCCCCCCACCCCAAAGCATGTTATGGGCGTTAAAATCCCCACACCACATTACCTTACTTCTTTCCTGGCCCTCCACCCTCTCCAGCACTTTCATTTCCAATATCTGACACGGATTATAGTAATTCACTACCACTAGCACCCCTCCTCTCAGCCACACCTCCACCACCACATACTCCTGTTCAATACCTTTGCCTATCATCTTGTAGGGAATTCCTTGCTTTATGAAGATGGCACATCCCCCTCCTCCCTCTATATCTCGGTTCCAATGAACCACTACATATCCCTGTATGACAAACTCCACATTCGGTTTGAGCCATGTTTCCTGCACACAAATCACATCAGGCTTAACTATCATATCAACAATGAACTGCTTGAATTCCTGCCCATTAGCCAACAGGCTTCGAGCATTCCATTGTAGTACTACCACCATAACTAAGATCCAGTAATACATGACTCCACCATCGTCTGATTCAGGTCATCTCGAACCTCTTCCCATGTCAACCCTGTCATACTCAAATGTCTCCCAGCAGCTTTCACTATTAGTTTAATCCTCTCCGTTTTAGACTCTACTTTATCAGTGCTATTGATAGCTCCTGCTATGAACGTCACCAGCTTTTTCTTTTCTATGTACACCATCTCGCTGCCCACCTGCCCCGTAATCCCCGGTCTAGATGCTCCTACCCATCTCTCCCTTGAACCTGTATCTCCCTGGACCTGGACCACCCTTGCTGCCTCAGCATATGACACCCTTCTCTCCTGGACCACCCTCACTGCCTCAGCATATGACACCCTTCTCTCCTGGACCACCCTCACTGCCTCAGCATATGACACCATTCTCTCCGCTCTCACTTGTTGCACCTCCACTGCCTTCTTCATAGCCTCACACCCACTATATGCCACACTATGAGCACCCCCACAGTTGCAGCACTTTAGTTGTACACCATCTCCACACTTCCCATAATCATGCTCCCCTTTACACCTGGCACACCTCTTTTTCTCTTTACAGACTGTTGCCAAATGCCCAAACCTCTGGCATTTATAACATATTAAAGGCTTCGGTACATAAGCCCTCACATAATAACTCATATATCCTATTGTTACCTTATTTGGCAATACCCGGTCCTTCAAATTTAACAGCATTGACGTGCTATCTACCCTATCTCCACCCCTTGTTGCTTGCAATCTGTGTACATTCACTAGAACGCCTCCTCTCAAATGTTCCTTACCTCTTTAGTGCTAACACTCACAGGCACTCCTGTTATCACCCCTTTACTCCACTGCTTCCCTGCTTGGTCAGACCAGCTGCTCGACACCACCTTACACTTCCCTATTTGCTTCACTCCGATAGCTTTTTCCCTCTGTGCCATGTTCTTACAGCTCACCAACAAGCTTAACACTTTAGCATTGACAACTTCCCCAATCAACTATTTTATCACAGCCATCAACCTTATCGGACTCATCGCCCCAACTCCCCCTTCCTCCCTAAACTTCATAATCACTTTATGCTCCTCCTCACCTCCATGTTCCTCTCGTGTCTTATCTTGCCCTTCCTCTGCAATTTCTACCTCCGAACTTCCGCTAGCATTGGAAGCTAGGTTGCTCTCCTCAAACTTCCTTTTCTGCCTCCTCTCTACCTCTGTAGACCTCTCGCTCCCCTTCATACCCCTACTCCCTTTCTCTCCCGCTTTCTGTTTTCTCTTTCTTACTCCATCCCAGTGGCGGCTCCTGAAAAAATTCTCAGGAGGGGCAATTTTTCTGATGATTTAGGTGACCTACACACATTTTTAAAAAGATATGTCCAGCAACAACATGAAGACAGGGGCAGCATATAAGTCAATACCAGAAGCATTTATTGACTGATCTCAAAAGTGTTGGCTTACAAAAGCAAAATAAGTTATCACAGTAAAAATAATCAAGGGTGTTCTTTCACATTCCTCAACACTGCATAAACAATATGTATGGCTTTGTAAAAATGAACAACCATATTCTGGCCAATTGTATAGATTTGTAAATATGAACAACCATATTCTGGCCAATTGTATAGATTTGTAAAAATGAACATGAACAGATTTTTTATTTTTTTGAATGGCAGTACCTTTCAAACATGTCTGCTTGCAGTAAGGTAGCACTCACAAGGTGGCCAGAGAAAGAGAACCTTTCTTTGGTGTGATCCAGGATGGTGTTGCAGCCTCTGCTTCTCCTCTTCTCTCAAAGCTGTTCTGGGTCTTTTGGCTCCTGTTGCT